ATTTATATTTCTTAAAATGTAACAAGAAGTAGAAAAACATTCTGCTAGTGTATTCACAGAATACCTCTAGTGTGATACTCAAAGAACTGGACACACTGATTGCCTCTAAGGAAAAACCCTGAAGAACAGAGTCAGGAGAACACTGCATCATGCATACTCCTAGATCTTTTGGGCTGTGCTACTTAAAAATATGTAGCTAATGCATATACACAAATTTAAAAAAACAGAATAAATGGGCACTGGTACCACTCCAGCAAAGGAATAAGAAGGGCAAAAGCACTTTCTGGAGGCACTAAACATATTCACTCATTTTTTTTTCTTTTTCTTTTTTCTTTTTTTTAAGTAATCACTACACCCAATGTGGGGCCCAAAATCAAGAGTTATTCACTCTACCAACAGAGTCAGCCCGGCACCTCATTCATTCATCTTTTTAGAAAAAAAATTCCCTTACATCAAATCCGTAAACATGTAAACCCCAAAATAAGGAAATAAAAGCATCTATAGCCCTTAAACAAATTCTTAACTTTCTATAAATTATATAAGCTAGACCAGAGTCTTATTTATATAGCAGCAGATGGACATTCAGATTTTCTTCCAGGTAAATCAAAGGAATTATATTTTACATTATCAAAACAGGGAGAGGTATGAACAATATTAGTTTCAACACATTTTCCATGTGCCTCTTGGTGGGATCTACTTTTAGCAAGAGCCATTTAACATATATAATCACTAAGTATATATATATAGAAAGGTATAAAAATTAGCTTTCATATCACAGTCTAAAAAAAATGATTAATGTAATCTTATTTAGTTAACAAGAAGAGAAAAAAAAACCCTCCATAAATAACCATCTAATTATAAGAACACAAATGTTATTTTATAGAGAAGTGAGTAAATAAAGCTTCTTAAATTGTTAATTATTATAAAGTCTGGTAGAACTATGTTGTGATGAGCACAAAAATATCACTAACTACAATCACAAGTTTCTGAGCCTCAAATGCAAATTGGGTTCAGGTTCCAAAATTCTAAAAACTACAAATGGTGGGGTTATACAGAAAAATAATGAAGAAACAGAAGAGTTTTAAGTGAATAAAGACATATGAGGAAAACTCATGGTGATACAATTAGGAGAAAGATCAAAGTATATGATGAGTTAGAGCTGTGGCTGAAACTAACTATTCTGCCATAATGTCCATGTGGCACTGATATATTAACAATAAACAGATCCCTAGAATTATCAATTTTATAAAATGTAAAACATTTATTCAGGTAGTAGCTTAGCCAAACTCACATCCAGTGATGTTCCAGTAACAATGTTAATCTTTTTGACACTTATTTAATACTATCAGCAGGAAATGCCTATTAAATGTGTGTATACACGCATTCATGTAAGTAAAACACATATATATGTGTAATATAAAATTTATACACATTGACTCCACTGACCAAATTTTAAAAAATACAGTAAGTAAAAGGAGAAATAATATTTTGGCCAAATCTGAATATCAGTAGTTTATACCATAGTATATTCATAAAATAAAACTGTATTTGTTACCATCATAATCTTTGAGAAAGTTCTGATATTTCTAAGTAACTTGAAATCTGGACATTTTTACAATGCAGAGATCAAATAATAAAACATGTTATATAAAAGATTTTTTCATTTTAAGGTATAGAACTAAAGGAAATCCTATGTTCAAATGCAAATTCTCTGTTAATGATTCAGAGATCCTTCTAGTATAAGAAAGATGGTTGTATGGTGAATATTAGACTAGGGAAGAAAAGATTTCAAGTGCTATTTCTTTATTTTTCTTAGTAATGGCATCAATTTAAAATTATCTTTTCATTCCTATTGGCACATCCTGGGAATTGGTTTGTACAATGGAGTAAACTTTCCTTTGATTCAGAAGTTATTCCTACTAAACTTATTCTGAGAACCCAAACAGGAAACCTTGCTGCCAACGAACTGAAAGGTTTGTGTTATTCCCAAGAACTCGAACTTAACTAGTTTCACATCAACTGAATTAACTGACTGTATATTCCACTTATTGTAGCTCTTAAGGAGCAGCCCAGTGGACTATTTCCCAGGAGGGAATTCTGGCCAGAGCAGAGGCTCCTGCTACCTGGTCAGCTGCGTTAGGCATGCCACAGGTGACAAGTTGAACACTAAATGACAGCCAGAGAAATAAACTTCAATGGCAGAGCCCTGCTTAATGTTTGAAACAAATGGCTTGAGTCGTGACCAACGAGGGTTAGATATTGTGCTCACACACATTCTTTGTTTGGGTCTACAGAGAATGAGAAAGATACCTGAAAATCAGTAAATTCCCTTTAAGGACATGGCATCTTTCAAAATTTCTCGAGTTCTAGGCGTCTCAACAATCAGAAGCCACAAATTTTCTAACATTTGGCAAAAGGAGAACAGTAGAAAATCTTAAATAGGTTTCACGGCACTTCAACTTTGTTAACTTTACTACACTAACAGATGTGAAACTGCACACAGCTGCGAATGACGGAGATGAAGATATTCAGTGCAGTCGAGAGGGGGAGTCTAAGGCAAATATAAATTTTGGTCATAAATGCAAGATAATACAATAAACATTAGCAGATGTATATTTAGACACTATGTATCCATCAAGGGACACCCTCACATGTGCTTTGAGGAGGCACCTTATGAGTTTTCCAAGCAAAAGCCATCTTTTTATATAGCTTTTTTACACCTTTTGCTAAAAAGGAAATTTTCTTGTAAAAAAAGAAAACAAGCTACCAAAGAACATCCTTAATGAAAACCTTAAATATTAATTTTTAATAAATTAATATACACAATGAATACTATGAAGTGACTGTGTTTTTTTTAATAGGCTTCTACTACTCCCAGTTATTATAATTCAACTATTTTAAGTGTTAGTTTAATTTACCAAGTAACATAATAAAAATCACACATCAAATTTGTGTAATGGATAACTTCAGGGGCAATGCCACTTTGCACAGTCTACACAGAAAACCAACCAAACAAAACCTATAAAACTTCCTTTGTTACGTTTGTACCGGGATCGCCACGACCCAGAATAATCAATTTCATTAACTCAGCGATAACGCTAGTAAATTTAGTAAGCCCACACGGAGTGGATGAAGATGCTTAACAGCAAGGCTGCCTTCAGTGTGAAGGCAAGCAGAGAAGCCTGGAGAAGGATCGAGAAGGGCCAGATGGTATGCCAGCATGGGAGAGGGTGGGTGAAAGCAAAGTGGGAAAGAACTCTTTCTCCCCATTTTTCAGTTTTCCTAAGGCCTCGATAAATGACAACTGTTTCTCCTTCCACTGAAATGACTTTCTGGGGGACTCGTATGAGGCGCACTATAATGTACTGGCCCCTGATCTACCTACCTCTTTTCCTTTTATTAAAGATGGAGTTATTTTTGCATCTAGAACATTTTACTATTTTACTACTTTGTAACTATTGGGATTTTTAAAGCTGGGAGGAAATTAGGAAGTCATCTAGTTTAACTAAGCCCTTATTTTACTACTAGGGGAACTGAGGTCCAGAGAAGCCATGATTTAGTTCCTAATCTATATAAATATCCTGGCGTGACAAAAAAAGTTTAGAAATGCCACATATAATGTTATTAAAAGCAAAAGACAAACACACATAAGAAATGCTTCAAAACACAAAGAAAAAAGTACAAAAAAGAGCTCTCCCTCAGGATGGCTAAGTCATCTGTTCTGATATTAGTAGGAAATGGTACATTACATACAATGGGCTTTAAGAAATGGATTAGGGAAAAGGTACTAAATGATGTATGAACACGTGTATTGATTACCAACCAAAAAATTGTGTACAAAATACTTACCAAGTACATACTATATCTTGAGGAAAATCCGTACAATGAGAAACGTAAAGCCTCTCGTAATTATTTTCTACCAAATTTGTTTCTACCTCTGTTTCATTGTAAGAACAAAACATACGGTAAGATCACGAAATGCACTTAATTCAAGTCCCCAGCTCCCCTTTACACGATGCACCTACTACAAAATCAACTCCATTGCCACCTTCGCCAGGTGGTTCTCAGTGAACACTCTCTACTTAGCTGCGGTGAGAATGGGAACTTCGGGACACAGGGTTTGAGGATATTAAATTCTGCACAGCTTTTTATCACTACTTCTGTGACAGCCTTTCAACACATGAAAATTTCTTATGTCAAAATAAATATTTTTCATAAATTTTAAAAACTTGAAAATTCAAATACGTAAGGTGTGTTCTTCCTCACGCCTATCATCAGAGCCAACATGGGTGTTTTTTTTCATTGGAATCACCTAGATCAGGGCTTTCCAAAATCTCTAAGGTAGAATGCAAAGTGACTTTATAATATGACATTGGGGTAAACACTTTTAATTTTACTATTTAGGTATGGGTTTTCATATACTTTAGGAAAAAATTACACAAGGTTTTAGGAGTGAATCAATTTTAAAAATACATTAAATAAATAACAGTAGAGGTTACATGAATATGGCCAAACTAAATATGTAAAGTCTGGGAAATGCTACTCTGCAAATGTAACTTCTCTGGCGACGGTTAACATAAATATTACTATTCGGGGAAATTCCAAACTAAGTTGTATTTTACTCTCTATATTTCTTCTTGGCTTTTATCTCATAGGCCAGTGTCAACGCAATATAAAAGAAATTTCTTTCCGTAGAAATTTAAAGTATTTTACTGGATATCGCTGAAGCCTATGAAAATTGGCATTAACGAGTAAGACTTGCCCGTCTTTCCATTATTGATAAAAACTTCCCAACGCACATAATTGTGGGGCACAGTTTCAATATCGTCCTGCATAATAATAGCACATGCACCACAGGCTGGACAATGCCACAGGGCTGAAACTGCTCGAAACACTCCTGCCCAGCCCAGTCTGTGTAGTTTTCTCCCCTCCAGAGAGGAACACAGACCGCAGGGGCTACCAAGAAGCTAAATGAAACAAATCAAAACTCAAATACTTACTGTCGCTGGGGAGGCCCGAGTGGTGTGTGTCACTGAGTGACCAGAGTTCTCCATGGAATTGCCAATAAGGTAGGTCCCTCCAGAGCTGCTGATGAGTTGCCCTCCGCTGACGCCCATCTGAACACCACCCGTGCCCACCATGCTGTGGGACGAAACCACGGCGGTCACCTGCGCAGAACTCCCTTGAGTATCAAAGTAACTCCCTCCAGTGTTTTGGCTGTACATCTGCGTTTCTGTGTAAGGATAAGTTGTTGTTCGGCTTTAGAAGAAGAAGGAGAAAGGAAGCAATTTAGTAGCTTATTTCTATCATCTCATCAGTCTTTTCTAGTGTGAATATATGACTCACGTACATCAGTTGGCTTATTGGCCTTTGGAACAAGGAAAGCTTTGCGTTTTTGTACAAAACTTCATTCCGGACATAGTGGGGTTGACTTCCCAAATGAAAGCACCTCAACGCCCCTCTGTACTTGAGAGCTGTTTGGCCCTCCGCTAGTGCCTACCTCCGGCACATAAGTTAAGTTCAGGTCTCGTCCATGTAAGAAACCTCGCTGAACGACGTATTCGATTCCTGAGAACACTGCCTGTGGGTCCAGTTTTAGAAAAGGGGCTGAGCAGCCAGCTCGTCTGCTATTCCCCATTCCTGGGCGACTGGCAAGCGGCTTCAAACCAAGCGAGGGGGCATGGTTCTCTCTCTTGCCACCACACAGACCTTGAGCAAAGAGTTCACCCACTCTGGACCCTCAGCCCCTCTCTCTGCCTCCTCTTCTTTCACACTCAGATTTCTCCTGGAGGAGACTATGGCAGCCCTTCATGTCCTCACTTTCCACTTGGCAACAAGTATAGTTAAGCTTCCGTCCTTGGCTTCTCACTGCAGTTGCTTTTAATAAGGTCACTCGTGACCAAATCTAAATACCAAGCCAAAAGGCTGTTGCCAATCTTTGTCTTTTTGACCAGTCTGCAGCATAACATTGTTGACCACTCCATGGCGCCCTTCCTTCCTTCTCCAGCTGCGATAAGTAGCGTATCTGCCTGATTTGTTTTTCATTTCCAGTGGACTGTAACTTACATTTTAACCTGACTTTAGCTTTTCACTTCTCGTTCTGAAATAATCAGAAGCTCACAACAAGTTGCAAAAGTAAAGTACAAAGAAGTATAACATACTTTTATTAAAAAATTCAAATATCCAATTAAAACCCCCAGTTCTATCATCACTCTCTGCAACCTGCCACACTCCAGAGCAAGCTACTCCTGACGGTTTGGTGTCTACGTTCTCAATATTCTCTATGTATATATAAAGTCTCTCGGTCCTAACCTCTCTCGTTTCTTAAGTTTCTACAGCATTTCTTCTCCACTTTATTTTTTTCTTTTTATCTATCTATCTATCTATCTATCTATCTATCTATCTACTTATTTATTTTGCTTTGTCCACCACTACCTTTCAAGAACCTTTTGGAAGCTCCCGCTTTCTGGCAGTTTCAGTACTAGGAGTTTCTGAGGTCTCCATTTTTAGTGCTTTTTTTCTCCTCATTTTTATTCAGATCACCCGTTTTTACCATGCTCCCAGTAAATGATCTTACCTAATGTAATCTCTCTCTACTTTGTGATTATGCTTTTGAGAACTGAAAATCTGGTTTGTAACAGCCACCCGGCATCTCTACTAGGAAACCCCACGATAAACGGGAAGCCTCCTGTGTAACATGTAACATACGACTAGTAAGAAATTCTCCATCTCTATCTCCTTTCCGTATAGTCCCCGTCTTAGCGGAGAGCACCACCACCATGCTCAGCTTTGGAAATTATTACTGACTCTTTCCTCATCCAGCCTGATATCAGTCAGTACGTCTTACTAATTTTACCTTTGAAAGAATTCTTCAACCCTCCTTTCCATTTGCATACTCCCTGCCTTCGCTCACAATATTGTCTATTATAATTGCCCCCTAACTGGTTTCCCTTCCTCTAATTTGGTCCTCCTCCAATCTATCATCAGCGTTGCTACCAGAGGAAGTCTTCTAAAATTCAAAATTGAAAATAAAGGTTTTCCTAAAAACTTCTCCATGAATCTGTCTGGCCTTCAGAAGAAATTCTGAGCTTTGATCTGCCTTACGAGAAAGCTGCTAGGGCTGGTGCTCACGTGATCTTGGACGTGGGACTAGCCAGGGCCTCAAACGCTTTCCTCACTCAGGCCACACCGATCTTTTCATTGATTCCTCCCAGAATTATTTTTCTGTACCCCTTGCCCTCTGTGGCCACTCCCCGTGGGGCTGTTCCGTTTGGTTCCCTGTACTCTCCGAACATGCTGTGCAAACCTGAAATAGCTCCTAATACACCGAGTGCTAATTTCCTCATGTCTCTGTACTCCTGTGAAATTACATTTTACTCGCATCTGTGCCCTGAACATTTAACGCACTAGCTGGTACCTAGCAGGCACACTAGTGAACAAATAAAAATATGAATCTACTTAAAAGTATATGTGACATAATAGCCACTTTCATAGATTTCTAAAATGTAAATCTTTGTTTTATTAAAACATGAGAATTTATGTCAACTATTCTGAGATGTCTTGGTATCACTTAAAGCAGGTCATTTAAACCCATTACAAATTATGCTCGTAATATAATTTATAAAGTAGCTCCAAAAGTATTCTCCCCTTGGTAGTTACTGCTTTCCTGAAAGAGTTACCACAGACCCAAGAATAAATTTTAGTTTGGGGTGATGACTGAAATAACTCCATAGAGAATACTTTCTGACACACAGAGAAATGCCATTTAAATTATACACATCATCATGGCTCTGTTTCCCAAGTGGAAGTCCATTTATATTTCTTTCATTACACATTTATACAATAAATAATAGCCATACTGACTTCAAATTTAGGTAAAAAGAGAAATGTGGTCATTTTAATTTATCCAAAACACAATCTTTTGGTGATATTTAAGTAAAGCCAAGTAAACTACAGAGATAAATATGTGACAATAAATACTTCCACAAAGGTGAGTATGGTGCTGGCTTTCTTTTTCATGGTCCAAACAAAATGACTGTGTATGCTCCTAGCACTAACTTGATTTCGCACATGAAACCTAAAATAGTTAATGATAGTTAATATTTACTGACCATTTCCTATGCAATGGGCACTATTTTATGTGCTTCTCAGATATTAACTTATTTAATCCTCATCACAACTCTGAGATGGGTACTATTCTAATTTCTATTTCACAGACAAGGTGAGTAATTTTAGATAAGATTACATAGCTTTTCTCAAAGCAAACAACAAGTAAAAAAAAAAATATTTGGAGTCTGCACTTAGCCCATGCTTGCAATCATTTCATCACAAAAAATAACTTTTATGTACATCAAAAATATTTGTGAATGACTGTGGGGGACAAAAAAAAAAACAAACCTCTACAAGGTGGTAGAGGGAATGTATGAACTTCCTGGGGCTGCCTGTGATTTCCTCAGACCTGAGCCCACTGTTTCCTAGCACCACACCACCCTCTTCTCTTACTGGGAACGCAACCTGCAGACATGTACTCGCAGCGATAAACAAGGAGAGATGGACAAGGAAGGATTCTTCCAGAGGATACTTAGTCACCTCGCACTTGGATTTTAGAGGTTCTACGATCATAGTACAACCAAGAGTACAGTAGAGATCGCTACTCTACCATAAGAGAAACCCGCCAAGGAATCTGAATCACTCTATGTTGGGCACGCCTCCTTTACATACTAAGTTATCAGTCAACAAAGACAATACAAACAAATGCACCGCAGATAATATAAAATCTCTATAGCCCTCAAGTTAGTATGAAAATATGGCAACCGACTTTTATTTTCCCATTTCCTTCTAGCATTTAGAGATGACTTGAGAGCCAGAAAGTGAGAAAAGAACGGGAAAAAGGGAAAGTCACTGAAGAATGTGCCTGATCCATGAACCATCCTCATTACCTGATCATGAGCGACGTGACAAGGGAAAAGGTTACTGCACAAACACATAGTGGGGTAAAGACTGACAATTTCAGTGGGGGGGGGGGGGGAGACAGGGAAGGACACATTTTATGAGGAAATGAAGTGTCATGAATTGTTTCTCAATTTGTCTCTCACAAATAAACACGGTAGAAAGGGGGGGGACTTTCAAAGTGGATCATAGAGGCAGACCACAATATCCTGAGTCCCTGTCCTTTTAAAGGTTAGGAAGATAAGCATTAACCCAATGCTGGAGTTGTGTCTGGAGCCAAAACAAGAACCATGCACAGGAAACTCCTAAAGATCTCTGCCATGTCTACATGCTCTAAGCTCCTGGATAAACACTGAAAAACTTATGGTTAACAACCAAAAAAAAAAAAAAAAAAAACAGACAACAGCCCACACAGTTCATTCTTAAGTAGTAGACATAATAACTCTTTAATTCAGATACCTCAGAGCAGCCTATCTTTCATATTGTATAACGAATACATGTAAGTTATGGCTTGCACATTATCCCTCCCCCCAATTTCCAAAACATATGTTCCAGAAAATTACTCAATATTTGGCATATCAGACTGAAAGCAGCTTACTATTTCTGGTGTGCACATTGCAGAAACAGCTAAATTCTCAGGCAGTTCTGTGCACATTTGAAAAATGCCCCCGTGTTCTCTTTTGCTTGTTCTTTACTGACTGCCATTGACTGGTATGAAAATAATGTATTGTGTTCTTTCTACAGCAGAAGAGAGAACTTCCCATTGTTCTGTATGTGTATCCAGTAATGAATGTAAATACATAGGTATGTGCAGGCTTGCGGACAGAAGTTTCCTCAGAGCGGACTCTTATCAGGTTCTATGTGAATGTCAGGACAGATTTGTTGAATTCAGGAAATGACTGCTGTCTGAATCCCATCATGCCTCAGCATAACTCTGACTAAGCATGACCCTGAATATTCCCAGCTTGCTTATTTACTAGAATGATTATGTCAGTTTGCCTCAGCTACAACCAATTATCCATTTTCTTTAGCTTTGAGTGTCTTATCCACAAGTCCAGCTATATAATATCTCCAAACTATGTGCTCTGTGCTTTATCCAGGTTTTGAATACCCTCCCACCAATAAGCCAGTCAACTCTAAAATTAAGTGAAGGCACGAAAATGGTAAATTAAGGAAATAAAATATCTTGCAAGTTTTATTACCATAACATTTATTATAAGGATGGAATATGGTAATGTGGAGCATTATAATATCTTACATTGGTATAAAATTTTATCCTTCACTGGCTACTCTGTACACATTCTTTTACC